AGGCAAAGACTATAACGCCTCGACCACGAGAGCCCCCAATATATATATATTATATTATATTATAGGTGTATTTACGCCCCCATCGACACGAACTAGATCAATATGTTTGCATTCTCGTGAAGATAAAATTGCACTATGAAACTATTGATATGTTCCTCATAACGTAAAGATTCCTTTCACCACCACTGATCCCAAAATTGCACAAACCGACCAAATCGATCATGTTAAGGAGAACGAGAGGAAACGCAATAAGACACTCAAGACATGCAGTGATCCTGGGCTTCCTCTGCTCTCTCTAGTCAATTAGGACTGATTAAGTTTTTCGTCGTTTTTTTTTTCACCCTTTTTTGGGTTCTTTTTTACCGGTGCCTCCTCCTCCTCCTCCTCCCTTTCCACATTTTCCATTTCTGAATTCTGTACAAACCAATGTCTACCTGTACGACGTCCCAGCTCTATCTTCCCCTTTATCTCGACTTGGAGCAAATTTCTCACATAGCAACGTTAAACATAATAATGTTAATACGTATATACTAAATGGTGAGAAAAGTGCGCAAAGGTTGAACATTATGATATTAATACATAATAATATACTCAATGGTGCGAATACAGGCTTGTATTAATATGACTGGCAACATAAAACGCTCTGTCAGCCCACGACTAATGAATAATCGTTGGCGATAACATCACTGTCATCGATCGTTTCCTTCTTCCTAATACGCTGCCACCGCTTTAATCGAGCGCAATACGTCATCAACACGTGGAATTGAAAAGGAAGTTTAATGGAGTGTTTCCTAGCAACACATCTCAAGGTTAATCTCTATCGCTCTCCTGTTCTTTGAAGCACACGAATGATTTTAAAACGGGAGCACAAAAAACCCCAGGAAGGGCCACTGCGGCAAGCGAATCTAAATTACTTTGAAATTATAGAGAGCTCTAAATTGTTGGCCGAGGAGCTTTGGGGGTCTTTCAGGGTAGGTTCCTCCTTCTGATGTACACAGCTTCGTAAATCGCATGTTTTCACATGATTTGGCCTCCTTTAAAGAGGCCAGCACGACACGGACCGATATATGACCCTACGGGCATCTTGGCATAGCTTATTTGGCTTTTTACCTCTTTCCAAGAACCGTAGCCAAATTCCTACGGTGGCCATATTTATGTATCTGAAAATGCCACAAGAGTGTCCGTATTAGTCTATGCCTGTATGTTTCAATAATGAATGTTATTCTTTTTTTAAATGTAGGTGATTATGCACACCCATCGACACAGTTTAGATCAGTTAGTAGGCGGGTTTCAACGCCACCTGTCAGGGCCAATCCGGGCTGAGAGAGACCAACATCCCAAGAGGTAGACCGAGATACTCGATAAAAATCTACCAACTCGGGAATCGAACTCGGGTTACCTGTGTTCTTCTGCACAGCGCCGAACCGCTACGCCACAGACGCCAGTAGTGACGAAGATTCTGCTCAGTAAAAGCTGCACTAAACTCAAAAGGCTGACAAGAAGACAATATATTGCAAACGTTAAGCTCAAAAGGCTGACATGATGATAATATATTGCCCAAGTTAATCTTAATAAGCTGATGAGTTAAAAGACTCTAGTTGCCTAAGTTTTGGTTGCATTTAGCCAACACACATATTTCCTGCTCCTTAAGCCTTCCTGGGTGCGCACCATGGGCATTCCCTGCGCCCCAGTGCCACTCCAGATGCCTACTTTTATCTCAAATATT